AAGAGTGTCTGCAAACAGAGCTGGGTTTGGAGAGGTTTCAGGTCAGCTGGGAGAGGAAAAATCGCAAAACCAGCAGCAGGCTAAGTCAGACAGCAAAGTAAGACTTACAGTAAACTGAACTGAAAGAGAAGCCCACATCTTCTCTGAGCTTGAAGAATTTAATGCTGACTCTGATTGCTCAGGCCACTGAACCAACTTCTGTTTGCTCTGGCTTAGCATCTATGCTGAAAATATCTGCTAGAGTACAGATAAAAATACAGACTATACGTAACACCATTACCTCATTCATTTCTTCTATATTGGTAATCATGACAATGATGGGAGAACGCTCCTGCCACACCATTCTCCAGAAATCACTGACAGTATTAACTATCGGTCCCTGAGTAGCAATATATACCTTTTCCTCTCCTCCATAGCCCTGCCAACAAAACAACAAGAGATCAGTTTTAACAGGGATGAACATCACAACCTTGAAGGGTCAGTCTTTAAAACAGAGAGCTACCACTGATAGTGGTAGAGAGTTCTTCCCCTCTCTCTCTCTCTCCTGGACATGTGTACATGGAGCAAAGGCACAATATGGACTCACGTAATTCCAGCAATGAGTGTCCAACAGCCTTGAGGTGACTCTGGCTAGGTCAAGAGCCTTATTCAGGCTTATTATCCAGTGCCTTGGTCAGGCCAGCTGACAAGCAATTTGCATCAAGAAGTGCAGAAGCGTGTTTTTGTCTGGTCTGAAGCTCTACAGCTGCACTTTGAGATTTGGTTTTCAGATAATATAAGCAGGAGAGAAGAGCAATCAGTTCAGCTAAGATGCCTTTAAAAATCAGTGGATGTTGCAATTCTGTTTACATTAACAGTGGCTGAGAGAGGCTAGGCAGACACATTGGGACTATTGAGCTCTTACCCTAATGTAGTTAGCGTTGATGTAAGAGCTAAGGGGGTCGTCCTGTTCAGCTGAGGTAAGGCACACTCTGCTGTGAGGATCTGAAAGGTGTAAAGAGATAAGAGTTTATCAGTTGCTCAGAGGAAAGAGAGAGAGACGCAAGATTATTTTCTACAGTGGGACATTTACATGCATTCATGGCCATCACAACAGATGTGAGTGGCCTTGGAGAGCTCCCATGTTAAAATGTTACCATAAAAAAGGGAAAAGGTGGTTGGTGGTTGGCTTCTTCTGATAGTTTTACCCACTCTCTGAAGCCTGCTTAATTGCTCCTGTTGCAGAGTCAGTGTCCCAGAGTGAGTCTGGAAAAGCAGTTTTCTGCTCCAGGAAATTATTTCTCAATTTGTTAGGTCAACAGACTCATTCTGGCTTGTAAGACATTAGAATATTGTTTGTGAAATGACAGCAAACAGCTTTTCTCCCAAACCATAAACACACATTCCTTGCACACAGGCAAGCTCTTTCCCTGTTTTGTCTTGCAGTGAACTAAACTCTAAGATGTGCTATTAACAAATATAATGGTTAAAGAGGAGTTAAAGAACATTAACAGTCTCTTGTACTTCACATAAGTCTCTTCAGTACTTCAGTCTCCTTCATTGGAGCTGTTTATGAAGCATTATTCTTGTCCTAATAAGATGACAAACGAAAATATTATTCCACCTGAGAAGTTCAGTCCAATTCCCACTGAAGTCAATGGGAGCTGTTCCACTGATTATAATGCGAGCTGACACAGGCATCCACTTTCACCAGTATTACAGAGTTTGTTATCATTGACAAGAAACATTGTCCTGACAGAGGCCTCAGCAAACAGCAACACCGTATATCACCAGGAGAATATTAAAAACAAGCCACAGATGACTTCTTCATAAAAATATCCAGCCTGCTTAGAAACCAGAACAAAATAAAAAAATATGCAAAAATAATGTGATACTGGGTAGAGAACAAAGAACTAAACACACAGTAATTTCTACAGTACTACGAACACAGACTCAGCATGAAACGCTGTCCTCAGAATGGATTAATGTAATCTATATGTGATAATATAATCACAATCCGCAAAGCAAAGATATAAACAAAGATACTGTGTTATAGCACAGAAGTACCGAAACCAGCAAGTTCCTGTCTAATACAAGTTCCCTCCCGCTCAACTTTGCTCACATCTCTAGTGCTGGGGAGATGACGAGACAAGATAAAAAATCTGCTTTTTAATCAGTAATTCTGATAGCCTGCAACATGTCACCCCATTAAAAAGGTGACATTGGTTGCCAGATGTCTATTCAAATGTCACCGGACTGGGTAGCTAGATCCCTTGCATGAAGTCCCTTTGCCTGGGTTTTATGCAGTCATCCGTGGAGTCTGCTGAAGTTAGAGTAACGATTACATGATTTTTCCCTACTAATAATAGCAATAATACTATGTTGTCCATCTCATGGTAGGTGTTTAGGGAGAAATAAAACGGATCTGAAGAACTCTATCAACAGGTGCCACAGACTTTTAAGCACAGGCTTCTTTTAGTATTCTTCAACTACAGTAGAATTTGAGTGACTTTTCACCATGGACTTTTTTATTGCTGTATCCACAAATATTAAAACATTGTTCAGAATATGCTTTTACTTTAATACTTGGCTTGTGATTTTTCTGTTAATGTAGTATTTACATTTGTTAAGGTGTTAAGTATGTTAGTGAACAGTTTCAACCTTATTTCATGTAAGAGAGGCCTATTAACGCATTGTTAATAAAAGAATGTGCACTGTTTTGCAGAAAGTATAACAAGCTGAATCCTGACCTCTTAGAAATATATAAACAGGGATAACTCCCCCTTTAAAAAAAAAAATCGTAACAAGACTTTAATATAAGAGTTTGCAGTATGAATTTGAAATTTTCCAAAGAGAGGCATTTAAGCAAAATCAGATCCTACTCTTAACGAAAACATTTTTCCCAGGACAAAACCAGTGCACAGGCCAGGTTCAAGACGACACCACGCCTTTAAAAAAGCAGTAGCAGTCTGTATCTCTAAGAAACCAAATGACATGGCAGCTATTTTTTCCACAGCCTCTTTTATGGCCATTTTGTGTTGATACTATGTCTGACATTTTAGAGGAACTCACTAAAACTTAACTGAAATGTTTTGCATAACTTAAAATGGTGTAAAAGCAATAGAGCTACATAGAAATCTAACAAGTCTGTCTAGACATTACTCTTGAGAAAAGGATTCAATGAGATTGATATACAACTTGCTCCAGTAAGTTCTTGCCATCTCTGGAATTCTACAACAAGAACATCCTCTTCTATATATTCAAAAAGTGCCTCCAAACATCTTAGGGAAAAGTTATCATTTTCCAGGAAATGCCATAGGACTCATCCCCAGAAGAGGACTGTCTGCAAACAAATTCATAATTATGAAATATCCAAATCAACCTGCATTTTCCCAAAAACACCCTTCTGCCATCAAAAAGCCATCTTCTAAGCCATTTTACTACTAACAGCGAAATTGGAGAATCTGCAAAAAGAATTTACTACAAAAGAAATATAAATGAGATTAATTACAGACTATTATCCTGTCTCTCACTTACTACAATCAACTCTAGGGTTGCAAGTAACTGATCATTATGTTAAGTGACTGCTTACCTTTTAATGATAACTGCCTAGATTGCTTCTGGCGATGCAGCTGGTAAGTGAACTTTAGTTACTTTTTAAATTCAGATTTTGGGTTTGACTCTAGTTTGGTAATTAAGTATTTGCTGTTCCCTATGATGATCAGTTGTCTGAGTCTGCTCTACGTCTGAGTCTGCAGCTTGTTCAGCAGTTCCTGCCATTACTGCTTTCTGCAACTAGAACTTGGAGGAACACTAGGTAGATACTCAAGGCAGCATAGGCTACATTTGGTCACCTCAGAAACAAAAAAGTCAGTGGATGGTCAAACCCTGAAAAGCGCTGGACTTTCCCCCCGTCTTGCCTCCAATTCCCTCTCCCACTTTGTGCGTGGATAGTTTACTGGGATCTTCAGCTTTGAAGCATAAAGGGGATGTTTAACTCTCCTTGCTAGCCTCTTTACTGCCAGCACCAAGCCCTTCGAAATGGTGGTAGTTGGACAAAAGCGAACAGTCAGCCGTCTTCTTTCCTCAGCAATATCAAGCCATCCTTTGATCACAGCCAGGGACAAAGTTGCACAGAGGTTACTACTTTTGGAATTCATTCAGAAAAAATATCCAGATCATAACGAGCTTGGAACAAGCTTGTTAATCCTTGGAGGCATAGAATCATAGAATCATCTAGGTTGGAAAAGACCTTTAAGATCATTGAGTCCAACTGTAAACTTAACACTGCCAAGTACACCACCAAACCATGTCCCTAAGTGACACATCTTCACATCTTTTAAATACTTCCAGGGATGGTGACTCAACCACTTTCCTGGGCAGCCTGGTCCAATGCTTGACAACCCTTTCAGTGAAGACATTTTTCCTCATATTCCAATCTAAACCTCCCCTGGTGCAACTTGAGGCCATTTCCTCTCGTGCTGTCACTTGTTACTTGGGAGAAGAGACCAACCCCCACCTCGCTACAACCTCCTTTCAGGTAGTTGTAGAGGGCGATAAGGTCTCCCCTGAGCCTCCTTTTCTCCAAACTAAACAACCCCAGTTCCCTTAGCTGCTTCTCATAGGACTTGTTCTCCAGACCCTTTGCCAGCTTTGCTGCTCTTCTTTGGACACACTCCAGCACATCAATGTCTTTCTTGTAGTGAGGGGCCAAAAACTGAACACAGTATTCGAGGTGCAGCCTCACCAGTGCCGAGTACAGGGGGATGATGTCCCTAGTCTTGCTGGCCACACTAGTTCTGATACAGGCCAGGATGCCGTTGGCCTTCTTGGCCACCTGGGCACACTGCCGGCTCACGTTCAGCTGGCTGTTGACCAACACCCCCAGGTCCTTTTCCGCCACGCAGCTTTCCAGCCACTCTTCCCCAAGTCCGTAGCGCTGCATGGGGTTGTTGTGATCCAAGTGTAGGACCCGGCACTTGGCCTTGTTGAACCTCATACAATTGGCCTCAGCCCATTGATCCAGCCTGTCCAGATCCCTCTGCAGAGCCTTCCTACCCTAAAGCAGATCAACACTCCCACCCAACTTGGTGTCATCTGCACTGTAGGGTAGAAACTAGTTATCTGACCTGGAGAGGTCAAAGCGACAACAATGGCTGCTAGCAGATATCAATATGGCTGAGATGAAGTTTGCAGCAAATAATTAACCCATTGAGTGATCATTCTTAAAAAAATATGGTAGCAGGCCAATTGGCATTTGTTTACAACTCTGGAACAGGGTGTTCAAAATGGCAGTAATTCTGATGCTTCAGTTTAAACATCCAATATGAGATATTTAAAATGGATCCAGTTCTCAAAGTACACACTAGATACCAAATTCAGAATATACAGATCACTTTAAAATATAGCAGTTTGGGCATCTGAAATCACTACCCACTTTTGCAATCTTCCCTTTCCAGCAAAAACAGTAAATTAATACTTGAACGATTCCCCTCAGTCATTAGCACAGAAATTGTGAAACGTGGCTGAACGTTTTTACACTTCTGGTCTAAGGCAGAGTATAAAGTCATCAGAAGGGTTGCGCACATTGGATCATTGACTGCAGCTGCTGGAGTTGTAAGTCTAGATAAAAAAAATCTCTTCTGGAATCATTTCCAATCCAGGTTCATTGACTAAAATGACAGGAATAGCTGAGGACATTTTTGACTTCTTTGCACTTATCTTTGCTAACCAGACACTGAACCTTTTGGGCTTTGCAAATAGAGCTACTGTGGCTAGTGGTGGCATCTTCCAATGGCTTAGAGCAAAAAAGAGGCACGACATTTAATCGTATCACTTTTCAAAGTAACTTTAAGTATGTCACAGGGGAAAATGATGACACTTGTAAAAATTTGTACCAAAATGTTTCTCAAATGTCCTACTCCTGGCTACTTATAAAAATAGTGTAATAGAAAAGAAAAATATTTTGATTTTCTGTATCATCTTAATGCCATCAGGCCAGCTCCCAGGATTCTCCGTTTGTGTTTGAGGCATGATTCTGAGAAAAACATCAGTCGGTAAGATAACATTGCTAGAATTTAGTCCTTCTAAAGAGTTTAATCAAAGAAACCACTAAGTAACATCTGAATAAACACACCAAGTTCTTGGGTAGAATTTTTAAGCAGCACCAAAAGATGCAATGCTAATACTTAAAAACCTAAGTGCTGCTGATGTTCAGTGAATCTTAGGTTCTTCATGTTCTGTACCTCTTTTGAAATTTGATTTATGCTTTGAAGCCATGTTGCTGCTTCATAAATATGGCCTTTGGACAATACATGGTAGCGACAGCACGCTTGATGCATTCTGGAACGGAAAGCGCAAACCATATGGAATAAACCATGCCTCAGTGACTTAAAAAGCAGGAAACTTACTTGGGAGAATTGTTTTGTAGCGATTCTTACGCACTAAGCCTGGAATATCATATTCCTTTGGGTCCACAAAGTTCATTGGAATTTCCTGTTTAAAAAAAAAAACACAAAACCCACAAAACACAGTAAGTAGTATTATTAGATTCACAAGAGGAATAAAAAACCCAAGCCCATTACATCCTGCCTGTGAAGGGAGGCAAAGTGATGAAGTCAACTGAGACATATGGTACAGTACTTCTAGCAATTTACCACCAAAATATGATTGATGTTTCCTTTTACTGTCACTGTCTTTCTTTTCTGAAATCCTTAATATGAAAACGCTCATAGTGACTAATTCATTGAGTAACACGCGCGACAGCATTATGTTAGCTCCTAATATTATTAGAACTGAATTGCAAGTGTAGGCACAGAACTAAGCAAAAGGTGGTACGTAAGATACTCTGCTCCAAAAGCGATGGACCTCAGACACCATCCTTTCTGACTCATGCTCCTTCTTCCTCTCTGAGGGTGGAAGGAAATAATTTGCTAGTGACTCTCACTAGCAACAAATTATGACCTACATTATGACAGGTTGGCATAATGATCTGACTCTATGGAGCTGGGAGAGTGTTACTCTTTTTGCTCACCACACTTTAAAGTTCCACGGGCAAGGACAGCAAACAAGTGTCCAGAGATTACCGACCCAAAGAACATACAAAGATGGAGGGGCTTCTTGTTCTCCACTACTCATCTCCTGGAAGTAAGTGGCCTGTTTGTTTTCCAGGCAGGAACAAACAGGAAGCTTCCACGAGCTGAAGTCAGTAGGCATGTGATGAGATGGGATGTGTCAACCAGGCTCAGCAGAGAAAGGGCTCATGGGAGCTTGGGAGCAGAGCTGGTCATCCCAGCTGCTGCACACTGGATTTGAGAGGCCAGTACTGGACATACTGGTGACAGGAGTCAGGGTTGAGTAAGACAAGCCTCACTCTGGAAAGAAATTAAGATAAGCAGAGCTATGGACTATGTTAAATTCTGGCACTTTAGAAGACTTACTTATCTGTATTCTGTCTCTTACACAGCACTGAGTGTACTGTTGGGCTTAAGCAGAGGCAATTAATGATAAAAACATTTTGTTGAAGTAGTTTTCTATCAATCTGAGGAACTGCATGGGGATGAAACCTTCATGTTTTCCTCAATTGTTACTTGGTATTTAGTCGCCCAAAACTCTTCTTGAGCCAAGCTCCATGGTCTGTCTTTGGAACTTAGTCATTCACTGCTCAAGCAAATTCTTGGTGAAATCAAAAGGACTTCTGCCTGAGTAAAAACTCTAAATCTTGTAAGAATTTCAGGACTTAGCCTTGCAAGTGACATCCCCTCTGACTTTTCTTCCAAAATGAAACACAGCTGCTTGCTTCATTGTGGATATGGACTTTGAAAACCAGTAGGTTGGACAGACTGAAAATACATGACGCAGAGCTAGCTGGTGATAACTCTTTCATTAAAAAAAAAAACAAACCTAGTTTACAATTTTAATTACAGAAACTACATTTTGATTACACAGCATTTTTATCGATGCTTTTTCAGTTTTCATTAAAGAATGAAAATGACTTGGGGTAGTTTGGCTGTTGAATGATTTTTCTGAACACCAGGAAAACTAATTCAAAAATCTCTCAGAGAAATGAAGCATTTTTTTTTCCTACTTCTAACATTATTTCCTTTGCTTGAAAGCTACAGTGCACCTCAGAGACTGATGAAACTGCATGTGGACTTGTTCAGCAGTCAATTCAGACACTTGCTAAGCGAACATTTCCTCCCTAGAACAGCAATAGATGCTTTACTTTAAAAGAATCAGGGCTTGCCTACACAAAAGCTGCTTTTCTTCAACTTGTACAGCACTAAGTGAATTAAGGGCCACAGATACCTGGAGGTCTGCTTTAAAACAGAAGTCCAGACTATTTGATCTCGCCTTGTGCTTGTAAAGGGGAAGGAAAACCCTCTGAAATCGCACAAGGAGGGAGGACAGAAAGTGGTACTCAAAGTGTTACTCCTGCCCTTTCAGACCCTTGCAGGTTATAAAGAGGACAGGCTGAAAGGGCTGTTATGTTGCAAAACATCATGTTCCTCCTGCTTTGCTGAGATTCCATGCTTAAGAGAATATTTGACTTGGCAGCATTAACTTCAGTAGCCCTTGATCACGTGCTCTGAAATACCCCAGCATGCAAAGACTGTGCCCCGGTTACCTCCCATCTCGTACAGGAATTTACAACCCTGCCTAGTAGACATAATACTCATTGCCACTGCAGCATTTTGCACGTTTTTCTTGACAGGTATAATGAACATGACAATGCCTATCACACAGACACTCAAGCAGCTAGGGAAGAGACTCATAGAATGCAAAGATCTAAAAAGCCAGCGCACTTACTACACCGAAATGTATCTGGCCTTTATCCTAAGCTACTTAGAAATCCAACCTTCAACTGCTTGCTTCACTTGTGTACGTATATTTTTTCCCCAAATGAGGCAAAGAATTCTTTCTCCCAAAGCAACAGTGGGTACAGTGAGCCAAGGAAACATACTTCAGAATCCTAAAAGCAACTGACAGAACAGCTTACAACTAGTAAATAATTTTTGTGCAGAAAAAAAACCCAGTAAGACATACTTTCTATGGCTCCTGCTGAGTGACACAGACATCCTGTGCTTCGGTTATCTGGAGAACATTCAGGCTTGGAAAGTAGCTCCATGCCAAGCATTCAACAGCAAAGAGCATGCACTGTGGACTAATTTCATCCCTAGAGCAACTCCAGACACATTTCAAGAAGTTATGCCTATAGCAAACTTGGCTTTTCTTCTGTACTTTAGTGAAAAAGTTTGATTTTTTTGTTAAAAAGTAGCATGCCGACAGAAAAAAAAAAAGACTTGTGAAAACAAAGCTTTTTTGTTGTTGACAGAACCAAGTCCCTGGTTTTTAAGTGACAATATCACTGAAAGCTTTCAGACACTGTCATTTCAAGGGATGACGAATTTCAGAATTGCATTAAATGCTTCACTGATGGAAGAGGAGTTTGTATGTACTAATTCTAGACTTGCAGACAATAATAGCAAGGTTCATAGAAGAGAGACAACATCCCATTTTCATGATGCTCCTAGAAGAGAGAGGTCAGATACTCACAAAGAACTCTGCCTGGAGTATGAAAGGATCCAGTGCTTTCTTGTGCAGTTCCTCTTCAGTAAGGATGTTTGATGCTGTCTGGAGGTATTCTTGGGCTGACTGTTCCCGTGGTGACATGACATAGCCAAAACCTTGCTCAGTACAGCCTGGGGTACACATATCCAGTGTGAGTGAAACATTTGAACCTCTCCTGTAAAACAGAACAATCGGAGTTTGCTTACAGCAGAACAGACTGACCCATCATCGTGAGCAATGGACACAGTCCCAATGACAGATAAACAGCAACTTCAGAAAAGCACCCAGCTGGTTCTGCTGTGTACATTATGGCCACTTAACTGTGAAAAATGGGTGATACTTCTTGTGTAGACAAGATTTTGTACACTGGAATATGAAGGCCAACACTTTCAAAGTGTTGTCTGTAGTGAGGTAACTGTATACTTTGTCACCTAAATAGAAGCAACTTGCTTGTCAAAGGTGCTGAGCAGGCAACTGAAAGGTGCTGAGCAGGCAACTGCAGGAAAGTTTTCATACTTGTGTAAATCACACCATATTTTTGGATGCCTAAATATGGACTGACATTTTAGACAGCACTGGTGAAAATATTGGTCTTAGTTTTCAACAGGCCAGATCCTACTGAATAACCATTTATTAGTAGCACAGACAAACATCAGTGGGGTAAGATCTACCAGTTCAACATTAATAAAGACATGAGATGCAAACCATTGAAGCGAATAATTTTTCTGTCTGAAGAACTTTCTTTCCACAACAGTACATCACGAGAAGGGTAAAATGAAGATCCCAACATTTTAACAGTTACATTAAAAACAAAGATGATGTTGAGTGTAGAATTTTTAGTGGCTTTTATTTAAGTTAGCCACACAACAAAATGAAAAAGTCAAAATGCCTGCATTGTTTATTGAATGCAGTTTTAAAGCATTTCTGAGCTTCTGTCAATCTCGCATATCACAGACAAAAGTAAGATTCAAATGCTGTCGTGAATCTATATTTAAGTATCTTTAACAGAATAATGAAATTGTACAATATGATGATTACTATAGGTGTAATGTTCTATGCATCCACACAGTAAACCTATTTCTGATGACTCTCAACTGGCAAAATCTAGTTGGGAGGTGTTTGCAGGAGCTATTGAAAAACCATGCAAACATGCAGGCATGACTAGCTCACAAAGACAACAGTAGAAGTTGTTACTTGGATCACAGCCCTTTTCTGAATTCAGGAGTTTTTCCAAAAGAATGTGCAGCCAGCCTCCTGCTATGATTCACAGTCATGGGGAAATGATTTTGGATGAAACATGACCACTAATGGTAGACACTGAATCTTTAGTGACACCTTTCAAAAGATTTTGACCCTACCCTGTATGCTGTTAAATCTCTACTACATTCCTCCCCAGAAATACATGCATTTGATAACAAATGCTTTTGGTTCTTTTAAGGTAGAAGAGGCTACATACATAGATATATTAATAGTTCTTTAGCATGAGGAAATGAGATTGTTTCTTCTTAAGAGTACCATTCAGTGCTGCTTGAATTTAGCTAGTGACTACCCTTCTAATGGCATAGGTGGTTAAAGAATGAGGGGTAAGATGGAGAAGCAGAATGGATGCAAAGGAGGGATAGATAGATAATTCAACAAAACACCAAATAAAGGAAGAGTGACCAATGCTTGATGTAAATGAAATCTGTCAGAGCACAGCCCAAACCTGGAATGATGTCTGGCTTCTCAAGCACACATGTATGTCGAAAACAAGTTTATTTTACATCTTAAGTGTACACGTTCTACCTAGTGTGAGCACTTCAAGCAATTGCTTTCTTTTTCCCCATCTCTACTTCTTTGACAGTTTTTTAATTGTAATTCATTACTTGAATCAACTGATATTCCCCAATTCTCTTGAAACAGTGAGTATCTTTCCTGCAGGCTAGCAGTCACCTGACAAGAATTGTCAGCATCTTTAAAATGAGAGAGATGGAACGAAATCAGGGATGGTGATACATTTCAAGCCCAATGCTGCCCATAAAGAAAAACAATGGCAAAACTCACTGATAGCAGCAGGTTCAGGGCCAAGCTCCAGAGGTTACTGCAATCTCGTATTTAAAGTAGAATAATATAACAATAAAAGGTAGGACATTTTAGGACAAATGTTGTATCCAAGAATGAAGTGAGAAAAAACATTCTAAGCTCAGAGTGCAAATTAAAAGCCTCTTCTGTAACATTCTTTTTTACTGTGTCATGTGGTGCTTTGGAAACTCAGCATCATACTTTTTAAAACCTAAGTTCTGCCCTTTAAGTTTTAGATACGAGAATTAACTATGGTTAGAACTCCAATTAAGCTTGAAAATCTAGAAATAAGGAAAGGTGATACTTCACTATGTTGGGCCCTTCAGTAACATTCTTATTCATAACATCATCACCTTCGCAGAATTTCTCCATGGAATTTCCATCCTCAAGATCTTTGTTCTCTTTCACTAAGACAATTGAAAGAACACAAGACAGAAAAAGATGAACGCTGCCAACAATATAAACTCAGGCATCCTGTGGTCCACAAGAAAGGAAAGGAACCTTAAACCAACCTCAGCTTCAGAGATGAGGATGCTAAGTCTGGTGTACTTCCTCTCACTCATCCATTCACTCACATACTGGCAAAGTAAAATAAAATAATCTTATGGATGAAAGTATCCAACTGAACATTCACAAACTCCGCTGAACATATCCCTGTCCCAGCGCACACATTCTGCAGTTCACCTAACTCTGAGCCTTTCAAAGTTCACCCATTACAGATGACCCTTCTGTGAGATGTATGAATGAAGATGGAGAAATGCAACACAAATCAATACTGCATCATTCCTGTTTTCCTTTTATCTTAAAACTGCCTTTTCCCAGCTGTGAATCTTTCTGAGAAGCTCCGTTGCCCTGCTGGTTCAAGGAGTGAACACCAGCTAATCCCAAAGTTTCATTACTGGGTTGATTTCAAACAAATTCATTTACTTTTGGACTAACCCATTTATATGAGAATTATTGCAGATTACCATTTGTCCTATGGTTTGCTTTTGGAGAAAGGACTAATCCTCCAGCATAAGTGACCGAAAAAAATTAAGATGATCCACGTCTTTCAGAGGTAAAAGCTTTCACCACTCTATAGTGGATTTCATGCCATCTTGGGGAATGGCAAGAGACTGATGAAATACAAATGGATATTTCAAAGGAAAGAAATGTCACTTTTGAATAAAACTTTGTTGACAGCCGTCTAGTAACTGTATGGTTTTTGGCTAATATGTTTATATTTATGACTGGACTGAAAACAAGACAGGAAATAAAGCAGGTGCTTGGCTTTAAAATCACATTTTAAAGTGACATTCATGAAGGCAATGAAGCTTCCTACTAGGCACAGAACTCCTAAATCCACAAAATCTGGGACCAGACTTTCCCCTATTAATCACATCTACCCTACCTTTCTTGCAAGCCCACGGATTTAACCGTTAGAGTGGCTGGATCTGTCTCCGCTTTAATGTCCATTACGCAGTCAAAGACCGGAGTCTCCGGTACAGGATCCAAATCTAGGAAGTCATCCTCATTTTTATCCTCTGTCCACTCTGAGTATGTGAATGAAGGCTGCCGGCTCACAGATTGGCGTCTGTCCTCTTGTAGTGGAAAGGGGGGGTCTGGACGGGCTCTGAGTAGATGCCAAAACTGGAGGAAACAAACATTTAAAAAAGCTTTCTGCTTGTTGCCAGCCCTTCCATACAGCCTAGAGGGTGGGTCTTTAGGGCAGCATCCCAGGTCACTATAATGTATTAGAATTGGAGAATACTGAAGAGGACAGGAATGTTCTATGCAGAAGTAGCTTTTTGGTGCGTGTTACAAGGATTCACGTCTACCCATTCAAACCTGCTTTCAGCCACAGAGGTTTCCACAGAGCTGGCCAGGCTTAACTCGGGGATACAGTGGAAGCGGAATGTGCTTGTGACCATCATATGCAAGCCAACATGATATCACTGTCCTTTTGTTCAGTTTCTTACCCTTCATAGGCTTGTTTACAAAATAAAAATCTACTATACTATTCTACAAATCATACCTCTCCTGACGGTTTTCCATCTAAAATTTAGATATAGCTGGGTTAAGACAAGTAAACATAATTTCCTGAACTGCACATCTTTGATAATCTGGCACTGTATCCTGAATTCATGTATAAACCAATCATTTTTTAAAGAGGCCTTGATTTTGATGCACCTAGTTTTGAGGCTCAGAATGCCCACTTCAGTTTCTGGCCAGTAGCAAAGCCTGTTTTGTAATCTAATTATCTGATTTAAACATGTATAGACATTACGTAATAAATCTTGTGAAGTTCTAGGACATAAATGTAATATTAAAGTTCGTATTATAAACTAATGAAGGTCTGAAATGGCATGAATCTAAAAAATTACTGCATCATATTGGTTTGCATGGATGCTGTGGCAGACTAGATGATTTGGAGATTGTATTAGTAGACTGTTTAATCCCCCACACAGGTCTCAGTTAAAAATTTCAAGTCTACCTCTGAATTCCAGAATCTGGAACCTTACGCCAACTTCATCCCTCTAGCATTGAACTAGGAGCAGTATCACTCAGACTAAATGTTATATGAGCTATATTGTACTGCCATGCATCCTTTTGAGACTAAGAAGAACGGGTCTATTTTCCAAAGTAAAGACTCTTCCATCGTTTTCTTATACGGCTTTTAAATGGGCAGTTGAATTTAGAAAACGTGCCATTAAAACAGGTCAAATTTCTCTTCCTAGGCTACTAAAGCACACTGCCTTGTATAGGATTTTAAACAACTATTTTCTTGTGCCTGTGTGTCTTCATGTACTCTCATTTCTCTGAGAAAGAACGAAAGGAAGTGAAGCAAGTTTTAATTTCTGTCCATAGTCAGCTTTAGCAAATGTTAAGACTTTCACAAAGCAGCAGTATTCATTTGACAGCTACTTCACACAAAATGTTTTTTTGTTTCAGTTAATCAGAGTACACAGTAATTACAAAAGCAAACATCGGAACATGATTACTAGACTTTTATTTTACACAAAATTGGGGCCAAATCTGAACCGAGTCTGTCCTACATGCTTGGTCTGTTGGATGACAAACAAGCAGCTTGAAGTTCTGATTCTATTTTCATTCCCCAAGGTGACTTCTGGACCTTGGCAATCCCACAGTACCAGCCATGGTTCTTTCACGTACTGCAAGACTGTAATAGCTGAGCAGTACACAGTGTAAAGTATCTGCTCAACAACTTTGTACTGCTGGAGAGTGCTGTTGTTACTAAAATCAACACTTGTGCTAAGGGCCAAGTTGAAGGTCTAGCTACCAATTATGTATTAGAGAGTCTAGAGCTGGTATAGTGACACAGGATTGATTTTACTGGTGATTTAACATACTGTAAATCCAAAGGAACAAAAAGTTCACCCTAGAAACAAAGCAGCTTTTCTTTATACTGAAAGAAGTGTGTGGTAAATAAGGAGTTGCCCAAGACACTGAAGAAATTAAGTTATACTTAAAAGTGATGGGGTTAAATTAAATAATGGAAAAATAGTCAGCTCTGAAAACCTGTTCAGGAGAACTAGACAGCTCTATGCTGGTTCTCTGCAGCTGCATGGGTCTTAAAACACCATCATATGAGGCAGAAAACAGACAGCATCACTAATACAAGCCTCAAGCATTCTATCCAGTCTTTTATTTTCACTGTGATTGCTAACCTCCCAACACGTTCTGATACCTGGGTATTCTCAGAAAAGTGCCTCAAACCTTAGCTGAGGTCTGCTCTCCTGAAAAATTTGCTCTACGTGTGTTAGAGTCACAAATTCCCCGATACAGGAATGAGCTGGACTTTAGCAAGTGCACAGACCAGACAGGGCCTCTCTTCTCTTGGTATCACTTCTGAGAATCCACTTGACCATCACTTCTCAGCCTCGTTAGGTGGCCCAACAGTTATTGCTCTACATTAAAGCAACAAAGCACCTGTATAAAAAGACGTATTTTCTCACTTCTCCAGGGAACTACTAAAGCATTACTGTAAGTTACCACAGTTGCTGAATAAAAAAAAAAATGCATAAGCTGCTTTTCACTACTATGCCATCTAGTATATACATCAGTGTGGGACTGATCTATCAGGTCCATCTATAAAGACAGAAGGGTACATTTTGGAAAGAAAGATTTCATCATAAAGGCTCTCCTTAATGTAAAAGACCCCTTCAAGGTCCCTTCTAGGCAGCACATTGCTTAAAATCCATATTTTTTTTAAAAAAAAAGAGCTATCACTCAGCTGAGAAGGAGGGAAAATAAAGAAAACTGTCTTCATGCAACTATCTGTTGCCCACCAGGTTGGGATTCTAGAAACCTTGCTTAGCTCCATCACTACATTATTTTCAATGTTCTGGTAATGACTATTTTACACCTTATTCCCTAAATACTGATAGAAGCAGATTTTTTAAATTGCAAAGCAGCATGACGTGGGCTGCATCAAAAGCAGTGTGGCCAG